TTTAGGAGCACCTCAAGGTGGAAGGAACACAACGCCAAGATGGGTGGAAGGGACTCCAGTGCTATGATCGCTGTACTTAGATCTGCATTTGTGTTATGAAATTTAGGAGCACCTCAAGGTGGAAGGAACACAACGCCAAGATGGGTGGAAGGGACTCCAGTGCTATGATCGCTGTACTTAGATCTGCATTTGTGTTATGAAATTTAGGAGCACCTCAAGGTGGAAGGAACACAACGCCAAGATGGGTGGAAGGGACTCCAGTGCTATGATCGCTGTACTTAGATCTGCATTTGTGTTATGAAATTTAGGAGCACCTCAAGGTGGAAGGAACACAACGCCAAGATGGGTGGAAGGGACTCCAGTGCTATGATCGCTGTACTTAGATCTGCATTTGTGTTATGAAATTTAGGAGCACCTCAAGGTGGAAGGAACACAACGCCAAGATGGGTGGAAGGGACTCCAGTGCTATGATCGCTGTACTTAGATCTGCATTTGTGTTATGAAATTTAGGAGCACCTCAAGGTGGAAGGAACACAACGCCAAGATGGGTGGAAGGGACTCCAGTGCTATGATCGCTGTACTTAGATCTGCATTTGTGTTATGAAATTTAGGAGCACCTCAAGGTGGAAGGAACACAACGCCAAGATGGGTGGAAGGGACTCCAGTGCTATGATCGCTGTACTTAGATCTGCATTTGTGTTATGAAATTTAGGAGCACCTCAAGGTGGAAGGAACACAACGCCAAGATGGGTGGAAGGGACTCCAGTGCTATGATCGCTGTACTTAGATCTGCATTTGTGTTATGAAATTTAGGAGCACCTCAAGGTGGAAGGAACACAACGCCAAGATGGGTGGAAGGGACTCCAGTGCTATGATCGCTGTACTTAGATCTGCATTTGTGTTATGAAATTTAGGAGCACCTCAAGGTGGAAGGAACACAACGCCAAGATGGGTGGAAGGGACTCCAGTGCTATGATCGCTGTACTTAGATCTGCATTTGTGTTATGAAATTTAGGAGCACCTCAAGGTGGAAGGAACACAACGCCAAGATGGGTGGAAGGGACTCCAGTGCTATGATCGCTGTACTTAGATCTGCATTTGTGTTATGAAATTTAGGAGCACCTCAAGGTGGAAGGAACACAACGCCAAGATGGGTGGAAGGGACTCCAGTGCTATGATCGCTGTACTTAGATCTGCATTTGTGTTATGAAATTTAGGAGCACCTCAAGGTGGAAGGAACACAACGCCAAGATGGGTGGAAGGGACTCCAGTGCTATGATCGCTGTACTTAGATCTGCATTTGTGTTATGAAATTTAGGAGCACCTCAAGGTGGAAGGAACACAACGCCAAGATGGGTGGAAGGGACTCCAGTGCTATGATCGCTGTACTTAGATCTGCATTTGTGTTATGAAATTTAGGAGCACCTCAAGGTGGAAGGAACACAACGCCAAGATGGATGGAAACCGAGGCAGTGATCTCTGTACTTAGGCCTGCGTTTTTGTTATAAAATATGGGAACACACCAAGGTGGAAGGAACACTATGCCAAGACGGGTGGAAACAGAAGCAAAAGAACTACTAGCTGGGAGGTCTTACTGCTGAATTTCCAAAGAGATATAAGAAACCATCTAATTACTTAGCTTATCAGACTTGGATACTTTAATTGAAATATCACTTTTGGAAAGACTTTCCCCTCTACAGACTTTCCATTAATGCCAGCAGAGAATGATACTTCCTAGGTTTTCACACATTATGAATCAAACCTTTAAGAGATGCAATCAATCATTTTCTAGCCATGGTCACTTTGACAACAAAATGTTTGAAAGGATGGGCAGGCTTCTTCTGTTTGGATATGGTGACCGAGAGGTACGTCATCGTCACACATGAAATATAGAAGGCTATGTTTAACCTCTTAGATGACATGTGATAGTGAGCATGCTTATCCGAGTGTTAGGAAGTTCAATACTGAGTAGAACAGAACCATATACAGGAAATAGGTTCACGAGAACAGTTTGTCTACTGCAAAACACACGTCCCCTGCTATGTGCAGCTACAGGGAACAAAGAACAATGGCAATGTGAAACAGAACACAGCTTTTAGCTTGAAAAAAAAAAAAAAAAGTCCACGTAGTTTTTTCACTGTAAATAATTAAAATGCAAGTCCATGTGATCATTAAAGTTTTGTTGTATATGAAGATCCAGAAAATTCTGAAAAAAATGTTTTTATTTTAGTCACACCAATCACTGAGCAAAAATGTTGTACAACATCAGGAATCTCACGGTCATGGGGACATATAATATTGACAATGGAGCACCCTGACCACCTAGGAGCCCCACCAATAAAGTAGTTCCATTAAGGCCATTCTTGTAGAGCTGTCTTCTATCTGCCAGAGTATAGGGACAGTTTTAAGCACTGGAACACCTGAAACTGAAAACGTAAGAGCGAAAAAAAAAAAATTGCTTTCACAATAGCTTCTTTTTCTTTTGAACAGCTTATAAAAACAATATACACACGGCCACAAACAGAAAATGTGTTAAGCAGCTACAACAATCATAAAAAAAAAGGTATGGAGAGATAAACAAACAAAAAAAGGAAACAGCAACCTTACCAAAAACACAAAACTTTTAAATATTACCCATATTATGTACAAAATTGGTTAGATGGAAAATGCTTTTTTGTCTTTTTTTATATATATATTTCAAGTTTTATGCAAACTGCTGAAAAACAAACAAAAACAAATCAGGATCAGTAACCAGACTGTCCTATATTCACCTTAGCCACATCCGGGAGCCTTTATTTATGTCATTATTTAAGTGGGTGCTTTCTTCATAAGGAAAGAACAGGCTTCTGATGCTGGCTACCATTTTTTTTCTTCTTCTTTTAACTTTAATTTCAATATAAATTTAGAGGCCAAAGATCATCTGAATGTATGCAAAAAAGTCAAAGCACAGTTCATTGGACATATAGCAAAGTGCATAGCAGAAACTAGGGTCAAGCCGGCCAATCTCACTAATAGAACTCGATAAACATTAGTTGCGCAGGTCATGCAAGTTCAGAAACGAACCCTTGCAGGAGCGAAGGGGTTAAACATGGCCTCGTTAAATGCAGGCACCTGTCTTCAGACATAACCTCTTCACTAGCGGTGGAGAGGCCTAGAAATGGATTCTAACAATCTCTAGTTATACAGCAAAGTCGGTCAATACGTTTCGCTGAAATGGTAGATCTCCAACTGTATAATCATGGGATTCGTATACAACCACAATCTTCTTTTTTTTTAGTTTTTAAGAAAAAATAGAATTACACTGAAAAGATGTTTTTCTCTCCTATCTATAGATCGCAGCTGTGAACTCTATTACAATATTAACTAAAGCAGTTGTTGAAGGTTACCATAAGCATAAAGTGCAGTCCAGCCTACTACTAAATAATGCGTCAAGCAGCAGCATTGTGTCAGTTATTACACTGATGAAGCTTATAGCAGTACATAGAACATGTCTAGGGGGGTAAAAGGGGGATAGAATCTTTTCTATTGCAAGGCTTCCCATTGTATCATTAAAGTCAAAGTGCTTACAGTAGTGGTAGTGTAAGATAGAAAAATAAAATGGCCCTGCAAAAAGCCACGACTAGTTTTCTTTGCGGTCACCCCCCCATTCCTCTGGAAGGTCATGACTAAAGTCGCCCATGCACAGCACGCGTTTTGCTAGCGATGCGACCACACTCAGCACCACTACTGATAATCAGGCATATTGGGCTCAGAGAAAAAAACAGCGTCAATAAACCTAAATGACAATAGTAACTGAAATCAGGGGCAAGGATCCCCAGAGCATAGTATTAAATCTTTGCAGGAGTTTAAAAGGATGGTGGATCTGTGGATCCGCCATCCACACTGTGGATTTGGCACTGGCAACAAAGAGCAGACGTTTCCTAAAATCTAACATGATCTGTCCATCTACGGCCAGCCTTGGCTAGGATTGAAAGACCACAAAAGCCTAATACTAATAACTGTGCAAGGGACGCCTACATGTTAGAAGGGCACGAGAAAGGACCGTGGATTGCATTATGGATCAAAGAAGCAGTGATCCACATGGAGGGAGAAAGGCTATGCCCAGTTTATACAATTTCCTTCTTACTTTCACAGCAGCTGCAGATGTGCACATGTAACAATTCATTAAGGTAACATTTATGTTCATAGATTGTATACTTTCATTATTTTTGTTTTTTAAAAATACAATAAAACCCAACAAACTTTGGAAATGATTTAACCAGCAAACCACCCACACCCCAAAGAGTTAAATTAAACATTCTTAGAAACCCCCCCCCAAAAAAAAAAACACAACACGGGGGATATAGTACTATACAAACAGGGAGGGACTTTTCCCCAGAAAGGTTCCCTATAATGTGAGTGTGCAAAAAAGAAGTGGGAGCATGTTTCATGACATTTCAAATGCCCTCTTTGTCCAGTGCATGAAGCCTACAATGGTTTATGGAACCAGCCATAACAACACACTTTAGATGTATGTGGCACTGGTTACACAACTGATTGAGCAAACCGCCTTGCTCCCAAGCAGGGTTTGCCATATGGCCGAATTGTTAGGCCACTCTAGAAGAGGAGAAGTTGAGATCGTTTCATAACACGGGGGGTTTTTGGATCTCCAATTGGAAGGAACTAATTTATCGTTTTGTGGAGGAAACATCATTGGGACCCCACCTCCCCATCCAAGACTGAACAATCTTAGCAACTCGGTATTACCGAAACAGACGTAAACCAAAATGGAAATCATTGGAAGTGGGCCATCTAGCCACTTCTCTGCACTTTGGAATAAGCACCCCTTAGAGCAGTGCTGACGATAACGTTTTGAACATGCATTGACAGCACTGAAACCACATCTTGTCTACCATGCCTTCGGTTCTACAAACCCCTCCTTTTCTTGGCTATGGAACACATTGCGCTGCAATATAGTCCATGTTTCAAGCTGTGCTGGGTTGTATTTTTTTTTTCTTTGCTGGATGCGCACTGGTTTCTTCAACTCTGATCCTGGTGTACCAAGGTGTTGGAGAAAAACAGAACATAGGCATGCACAAAAACGTAGGGCAAGCCAATACAGGTGAATCTGGTGTCAAAGAGTTGTGAGTGGAGAAATCTCATCCAGTGTATGGCAGCAGTGTCATCCGATCACACATGACAAACGTCGACATGGGGGGGATGGGGAGAGAGGATGGTAAAACAAGAGCAGAAATCTTCAAGCACCGGTCGGAATTCAAGTCCAGCCACAACATGCCCGTCAGCTAATCTAACAGTCCATGAGGTTACTCTTTAATATATAAAGTTCAGTGATAAATTCGGTTGCTCGGTATGAAAATCCAGTCCAGTTTTACATTGCCTGTAATTTATGATTCACACAGACGCAACCTAAAAGGGAAGCTGTGCGGGAGCTCACTCCCAGCCATTGTCTTTTATCATGTGAGCCAGTTCAATGATAAACTTTCCTTCCTTGTATTTTTGGCTGCTTTCAAAGGCATGTTCCTACGGGAAGCAAGAAGAGTGAACATTAGCGGGAAAAAAGTATAAGAATTTCCAAATGAGTCTGTCAAAATAAGAATCAGGGAGCTGCCAATGCTGACTTTTATTTAGAGGTACAAGTTCCAGGGATGTCATCCTTTTTTCTTCAGTACTTGGCAAGTCACTGGAACTTACAAGTAGCCGATAGCTTCCTTTTCTACCCGTTATCAGTTACATTGTTTCCTGCTATCTTTGAGGACTACAGAAATCACTCCACTCTTGTTATAGAGAAATGGAGGTGTTGTAGTCCTGTACTAAAGTAACAAAGCTACTTCTCAATAGATACAGTATGATGAGTGATAGTTGTCACCCTAGAACAATAAGTGTGTTCATGGCAGGATCACCCAGTGAAAATAACAGTGAAAGAAATATATAATAATGCGGTCACAACATCTAAAGACTGGTAAGCTAAATGTTAAAGTGTGGACTAAGTTGTGAAGATAGCAGTGTCTTGAATGTGAGTTGTAAGTATGTGGATGTATAATCATGTTGTTGTAAATTACACTATTAATTATGTGGTTGTAAATTATTATTGTTAATTGTCAAAAGAAAATTAAATAAAGAGGAATTAAAAAAACAAAGACTGGTAAGCTGCAATATATTCAATTTTCAGACTTGGGGTTAGATATGCTTTACAATTTCCTGTATGCTTTTAAATTGGGCTAAACGTCACCCCAATTTTTAACAAACAAATGCAATTAAAATGAGGTCATTGTGAATAGCCATTAATACAACTTCTCAGATTCAGTCACCTTCAGCAACGTTTAAAAAGGTAGCACATATCATAACCTGGGTGGCGTTTACACTACATAGCATAGCCTGAGCCGTAAAGCAATCCCCTTGCTGGCGCTCCCAGCATGCTTTGAGATCTGTTACATGAATCAGGTCTGACCCCCCATAATGAATAACAGCTATCATCAATAGTTATAACTAGGGATGTCCAGATACCAGTCCCGATTATTGGCATTTTCATGAGAACTACCAGGGTGGCAGCTGGTACCTGGCTCTGACCTATCAGTACTTGCAAAAATGGTATGGGTGCATCCCTTTATAAAAACAAAATCATACATTAAAACGGAGATGTACAAATCCCAGGAGCTCCTTACAAATGACAGCTGCCTCCTAACTTTTGAGTTTTTCCTCTAGTCTAGACTTGGAGCTGGAAAAGTATCTGTACTTGTACTTGTACCGAGTGCGGTACTTGGTATCGGTGCATCCCTAATTATAACTCTCTATATTCAGACTTTTCAAAGCAGGATGACCACACAGGAGCAATGAATCACTGCCGCAGCCCAGCATAGAGAAAAGTTGGCTTTGTACAGCTTTCTGGTATGCAATTCCAATTAGAATTTGCCTGCAGAGCTGAACCTAAAGAGACGTATTAAAAAGGTGCACCTAGCCCTTAAGCAAAAGCTGAAAACTCACTTTATATGCATCAAAACACAGCTTTTGTCTTTTTTTAATTTAAAGTCTCACTGAACTGAAACTCAGTAACAGCAGCACAGCAATGGCCCTGCTGATAGAAAAGAGGAACATTAACACTGGTCCAAATACTGGCTTTGTTGTTAAAGCCGTTTTGGTTAATACGTCTACGGTACACTTGCACGTCCCCTGGGAAGATTTGTGAACAGCACAATTGTGTTACCTTAACTTGGGAAAATTACATGATTAGGAAGTATTAAAAAAAAAAAGGTATACAACTCACGTATTTCCAGCCAAGTGTGGTTTTACAGTTCTCACAGTATATATCAGCAACGGCATGCAAACCAGTTAAAAGGACCCTCTCCTCTGCTGGACCACAACCGACATTTACCCTGCGGAACAGAAGCAGTCTCCAATAAACACCTCAGATCAAATCTAGAATGCTAAAAAGATTGAACGTTAGCGATAATATTCAAATTCGGTTAAAGATCTTTTCATTCTTTATTTGTTTAACCGCTTGAAGTCCGCGCTGCCAGGCCATTTTTCAGTATTCAGCGCTGCGGTACTTTGACTGATATTTATTCCGTCATGCAGCGCTGTACTGAAATGAATTTTATACCCTTTTTTGGGGACAGATAGAGCTTTATTTTGGTGGTATTTATTCACCACTGGGGGTTTTATTTTTTACTATAGTAAGGAAAAATTACTGAAAATTTTGAAAAAAAAAAAATAAGTTTTTTTACATTATGTTATAAAACATTTATTATTACCCAATTTTTTGGTAAAATATAAAAGACAGGGTCACGTCGGGTAAATAGACACCAAACATGTCAAGCTTAAAAATTGTGCGCACCCTTGAAAATCGCAAAAAAACTACCATACCCAAAAAGTTTTAAAAGCTTTTACTGCTCATCAGTTTAGTGTTATCAGTGATTGATGGCCCTAGAATTATTGTTCTCACTGTGACGTTCGCGGCGATATGTAACATGTGCGGCGTAATCGTCGTTTTCGCAGGTATGTGCACCTGGCGCATATTTGCATGCGTGTATGTATCAGTGGTGACTTTTTAAAAAATTTGTTTTTTTGTATTCTTTTTTATATGTAACTTAAAATTTTTTTGGGGGAAACTTTCATTTTTTTCCCCATTTGTTTTTTTTCATGTAACTTTATTGCCATCACATAGGGGGCTAAGAAACCCCCCTATGTGATAGCAAAATATGTGACAGGTCCTCTTTATGGAGACATCAGGGGTCTCCAAGACCCCTAATGTCACCTAGGACCCCCCTGAAGAAGCTGATGAAGCACAGATCTGCTTCATCAGCTTCTCTCCAGCGTCCGAAGCTGGAGAGTGACACGAGAATGCGGAAGCGATGTAATATACAACACTTCCGCATTCTGACACCGGAGAGGGGACCGGAGGGAGATCGTGTACCGACCTCCCTCTGATCCCCTGTCAGAGAGGCACTATGCTGGTCCCGGGCTCGCACCAAGCACAGCGGAGCCCGGGACCAGCATAACAACGAGAAGGGGGGCCGCGGAGGGAGGGGGTGTGGGGGACACACGGGCCGGCAGCTTATACAAGCGATCCACCGGCTCTATGCCGGCGGATCGCTTGTATGTTAACAGGCATCGCTGCTTGTTTTTAAAATTTTGTGTCTTCCCGCGCCTGAGTGGGAGGGGCTAACAGGCCGTATATACACAGCCTGTTACATCCAGGAAGCTCCCGGCCGGCTGTTTTTTTTACAACGGCCGGCCAGGAAGCGGTTAAGCCAAACATTTTTTACAACTGGTCTGAAAAGGGTTAATCCATGTAATCCATGTGGAATGAGGGCACAGCAATACCACTTAGCCAGATTCCAACATAATCTCTTGGTAAAAGTGAAAGAATACTAAAAGTGTTTCAGATTCTTTCCACTTTGGCCAGAGAAGGACACATACCTGGTGGACACACAGCCCTCTAGAAAGCCCTGTATTTAGAATGTACAGACAGATACAATCACGGCAGATGTGATCTGCACCAGGTGCTCCGGAGCAGCACAGCTACAACCTCGCTGCAGCATTCTTTCCAAGGGAACCTATTTATAGCCCACACTCTGGACAGCTACTCACAAGGTTATAAATAAGGATGTGACCTAGGTGAGAAGAGCTTTGCACTCCAAACCAAAATATGGTGTGATCCAGGATTTTAGTACAGACTCCCATGCTGGAAGAAGAGTTTTCTCAATTCACAGATATTAAAATGTTCACATTCCTGTTATGCAGAACGGTGAACAGCCTGAGCGGAAAGTACATTTGTGGAATTTTCTCAAAAGGCATCAAATATTGATCCACATATCCTTACCATTACTCAGGCTTCGCTCCCATACCGGTTATGAGGGTTTTTACATTATATTCAGGTCAAATCTGATGCAGACTGTGCCAAGCAGCAAACACAAGCTTTGAACGGCTAAAGTGTAATATGCCAAGAATGGTAAGGTTGGCTATAAACTGATCCCACCGCCCATCTAAAGTGATCATTTTCACCAACAGAGACTTTCATGTGTCCATGGGCTTTGAGCTTGTCATCAGTCTGGGACACTTCTAGGATCATTCAGAGTACACCGACAGGTGCATCTGACCCCTTTCTGACTCGCTTCAAGAGGATTTTTCCATTCCCACACAAGATTATGGTAATGCAAAACCCGCTTGAAGCAAGCAAGAAAAAAAAAATCAATTCAGAAGGTCAACAGCAGGTCACATCATGCACCTGTCAAAGTATTTTGAATGATCTCAGAAGTGTCTCAAACTGATACCATTGGCACAAGCCCAAAGCCTGTCGACACAGGCCCTAAATTGATGGAAAATCTCTCAGCAACCAGAGCAATCCTTCTCATGAGGGAATGAGTCACGTAAGAAGCTGGGGCAGGTCCTGATAGGATCATGACCTGAAAGTGGTCTTCCCACCTATTGTTCAAAGTGAGTTTGTCTATGGCCAGTCTAATCCAAAGTATTGAGTTAAAATGCAGAACTCTGATGTCTCATCTGATTGGTTGCTCTGGGTTACAATTCTTTGTATAATGTTACAGCTTTTCACCCCGCTACACTAAATAAGCCTAATAAAAGCAGGGTAGGATAGGATGCAGTCACTGTTCGGCTTAGAACTTTCCACCTGACTTTTTTTTCAAGCCGGGTGGTGCCATCAGGGCTGCCCACAGCTAGAATTTTGGCCGAAATTAGAGCTACCTTTACTTCCTAACTATAAAGAACATGAAGTCTAATGTTCCAACCACTTATACCCAATCCAGGGTCATTCTGGAATGAAATTTACCAGTTAGTATGTTTCTGGGTTGTCATAATAGTCAAGGAAAGCCACATCAAAACATTGAGGACCTACAAACTCCATGCAGATACTGTCCTGGGTCCAAAAATAATCCCAGAACCCTAGCAATGCAAGGCAACTGTGTGCTAACCAAAGAGCCACCTTGCTGCCGAATAAAGAAAGTGGGGAAACCTTACTACATGTGTACTATCTTTAACAGAGGTCTGAGCAGAATACCCATTCATATTGAAATTTCTGCATAGAACGGGCAGTATGGTGGGTAAGAGTTTGGCAATCCTGAGTCACAAGTTCACAGCACACCAGGGACACTATTTGCATTGAGTATGCATGTTCTGACCCTTTGCTTCCCGACGTTTTCCCCGGATACCCTTTTACCTCATGCAATCCAAACACACCCCTTTAGGTTCATTTGTCACCAAACTGGCCCTGTGTGCATGATTGAGAGTACTGCATTGAGGATATTACATTATAAGTTCCCCTGTAGGTAGGGTTACTATGAATGGCTCTGTGCGGGATACTTTATATAAACAAGGGAAATAAGTAAAACAGGGTTTCCTACTGTCTTTATAGAAAGTGTAAACCCATATTTTACGCAATACAAACACCACCATGTAAAAGGAAATCAGAAGGAAATACTTACACAGAGTTAAAGAGGTAGGCTCTCCCCTGGCTTCCCTGAAATGACTGCAGAGAGAAAACAAACAAAAAACTTTTAGTCACAGACAACAAGTAAAGTCATAATCACATTAAGAAGGGATGTTAATAAGGCTATTTAGAGATTATGGCATAACTTCTTTTACTGGTCATAATTCAGTTAAATATCTTCTTCTTCTATGACTAGCAGTGTGAAGGAGGCCTAATCCTCCAGGTGCAAACAGAATTCTTATTGGTCAAGTGTCATTCACTCATTAAAAACTTCAGAAGCAGAATGACAGCCTTCTACATGAATAGAAAGGCAAGGCAGCATTATGTGAATCAGGTTTCCTAACTGGGAAAAACATACCAAATACAGGAATCTGTTCCTAAATGCATTATAAACCGAAATGCACTGAGCTGCACAGGAAAATCAAACGCATGCAAAAATAAATAAATCTAAGCTGTTTCCATTACTACCTTGTATTACTAACATTTACTTTTTTTTCCATCAACAGGAATCTACAGTGTTTTGTATATACGGTCTGTAATTTACTATGTTTACACGTAAACATTTTTATTCTAACTTGTAATCAGATAAATATTAACGATTCCATGGATTTATTTACATCTTGAAGGCTGCACGTGGGAAGCTTAAAAGGCGACTGTTTTGGTTTTCAGCAGGGAAATGTACTGCTATGTTGGGAATAACTTGAATAGCCGGCAAAGAATTTACACGCACAGCTGAATTGATGCAGAAGAGAGAAAAACCCTCCTCTAGCAGATTTGTTCAGTGTGGGCAGATGGGGACAGTTTTCATTTATTTACAGCTATGATAACAGTCTCGGTGAGAAGAAGAAAAATGCCCCTGAAGGATCCCTTTAAGTTTTGGTCACATGACTAACCCATAGGGTTAGTTCACACCATATGCAGTGCGTTCTGGTACGATTCTGGCCGGAACGCACTGCATAGCATTGCGGCCGGCTCTCTTTTTTGCTGGGCAGGAGGGGACGTGGCGGGCCATTGAAGTGAATGGCACAATAGCCACGCCCTCTGGCCGCAAATTGATCACCCGCACAGGATCGCAAGGCACATTGTGCCTGCAGTGTGGTCCGGTGCGATCAAAATAGTGCTTGCAGCATCTTGATCGCACCACACCGGATCCGCACTGCAGGCACAATGTGCCTTGCGATCCCATGCAGGTGATCGCATTGCGGCCCCAGGGCGTTGCTACGGTGCCATTCACTTCAATGGCCCGCCACACCCCCTCCTGCCCGGCAAAAAAGGGAGCGATGCAGTGCGTTCCGTCCAGAATCGCACCGGAACGCACTGCATATGGTGTGAACTAACCCTTAGTTATTTATCTATTAATTGGAGCTAACTCCAGGAGTAGAACTAGAAGAGAAAGAGAAGTATCAAGACTGAGTAGATCTAGTAAGACATGAGCTTCCACCTTGATTGGTATAAAGTACAGTCCAATAGTAGCTGTGCACAATAATAATGCACTGTAATAATTATGTAATATGGATGGTAAAAAGAGGGGTGAGGCCTCTGTGAAGGCTGTCATCATTTACATGTGGCTAGTAAAACATCTTCACAAATTCTGTCACCAGTATTGGTCACAAGTCCCAAGTGCCAAAGTAGAAGGTCTATGAAAAGAACAGTGGTCATTTCCAACACAGGCCAATATTTCTGGGTCTCTCACATGGCCGGGATACCAAAACATACATATCATCTCCCCACCTACATTGGGGGGCAGAAAATGATTTTAGAAAACACTTCCAATGCTATTCCTGCTGCGATAGGAGGAAAAGTCACTTACCTTGGATATCAATTCATCATGATTGGCTAGGTGTGCTCTACAATGAATACAGCTGTAAGTTCTGTGACAATTTGGCAAGTAAGCCTGGAAAGTTTTGGATTTTGTCATTTTGACCATGTCTGTTGGTGGCTCCTCACTCAGCTCAGGGCTGGCACTGGAAGAATTACAACTTTGCTGCACTCGCTGACAGAAGAAACACTGGAAAATGCAAGCAAAAGCCGTTGTTGGTTTGGGGAGTGTGTGGCACTTCCCACACTGACGCCAGGGGAGAAAGTTAACCTGAGGGGGAAAAAAAGAAAACAAACATTGAGTGTGTGTGGGGAAAAAAAAAAAGAAGCACAGCCATAAATCAGGCAGGATTAGAACAGTGATTAAGTAAGCACACATATTGGTAGTAATCAATGTAGTTAATTTATCTCTATAATAATGACATGTGTACTCCTGTAAAACGGGTTCGATTCATCGGATAAAACAAATTAAATACAATCCTTAAATTTAAAATAAAATATACAAATGCAGCGTTATAAAAAAATGTTTACTTCAGAAAACTGCATGAACAATGTTTTGCAATCGCACTGCACTGGAACGCACAACATTGAGGTACCGTGGGTGCGAGGCACATTTGGGGTGCCATTGAAATGAATAGCACTGCAACATACCTCCTGCAGCAGAATTTGTCAGGCCGGAACCAAAAATGACTTTTTTCCCCACCTTTCATCATTTGTTTTTTAAATAATTGTATAGTAAGCACATGGCGCTTGAATAGCTTCAGCCAGGGAATGACAGCTGCCAGTGGCAAGATTCCGCAGACGGCAACTGAATGTAAATACAGCAAGTAGTGAGCCGGTGCAATAGCCAGCCTGCTATTGGCCATTTCAAATTGCAATAGCCAATAGCAGGCTGGCTATCTCACCCGCCCTCTGCTTGTTGTGCCCTCCTCCCAGCGTGGAGGAGAGAGCTAGGGGATCCAACCAACTAATCGATAAAAATAGTTGTCAACTATTCTCATTATCGATTAATTGGTTTCAGCGCTACTAGAAAGTTTAGGAAGAAATACTGCAGAAAATCAATTGTAGTGTAATCTAGAACTACAGACATCCTTTAGCACGTATACAAAACCCCAAAACAAAGATTTAATATATTGCAGCTTACTAGTCCTTATATGCAGTGGCTGCATTTGTTTTCTTTTTTTAGGCTTTCCCCTTTTATTTTCACCCGGTGATCCAAAAATAACACTTGCTTTCTCTTCATGACTACACTGATTTCTTCATTGTATCTATGGATGAAGTTGTGGTTGTGTCACAGGCTGGATTTCATACAGGTCTTCTTTTGTTCGCCTTCATTACATGGTGGATTGCTGCGACAAATAATAACACTTATTTAAAATCACTGGAAGTGACAAGGACATTGTTGGTAAAATCAACAGGTATTTTCTGTACTTGCTGAAAATTCAGGATGAACACTAATGCAGCCATCCCATCTAAGAACTTTTAAATTGCAATACATTACATTTTTGGTTTTGGGTTAAACTTTCAAAGTGGAATTATGGCCTCCCCTTACAAAACGTAACACAGCATTTACCAAGCAGGAAAGTGGCTATTACCACTATGGGTACTTTGCTTTATGCCTCCCACAATTAAATGCCGTGTGGGGGCTTTACCCTGGCCGTCATTAAGATCAATATTTATGATATATCTCAAACATGAGAAAAGTGGAGAGCGAGAAGAGGAGACGAGCGAGGGGAGAAGAGGAGACGAGCGAGGGGTGAAGAGGAGCCGAGCGGGCGAGGGGAGAAGAGCAGACGAGCGAGGGGAGAAGGGGAGACGAGCGAGGGGTGAAGAGGAGCCGAGCGGGCGAGGGGAGAAGAGCAGACGAGCGAGGGGAGAAGGGGAGACGAGCGAGGGGTGAAGAGGAGCCGAGCGGGCGAGGGGAGAAGAGCAGACGAGCGAGGGGAGAAGGGGAGACGAGCGAGGGGTGAAGAGGAGCCGAGCGGGCGAGGGGAGAAGAGCAGACGAGCGAGGGGAGAAGGGGAGACGAGCGAGGGGTGAAGAGGAGCCGAGCGGGCGAGGGGAGAAGAGCAGACGAGCGAGGGGAGAAGGGGAGACGAGCGAGGGGTGAAGAGGAGCCGAGCGGGCGAGGGGAGAAGAGCAGACGAGCGAGGGGAGAAGGGGAGACGAGCGAGGGGTGAAGAGGAGCCGAGCGGGCGAGGGGAGAAGAGCAGACGAGCGAGGGGAGAAGGGGAGACGAGCGAGGGGTGAAGAGGAGCCGAGCGGGCGAGGGGAGAAGAGCAGACGAGCGAGGGGAGAAGGGGAGACGAGCGAGGGGTGAAGAGGAGCCGAGCGGGCGAGGGGAGAAGAGCAGACGAGCGAGGGGAGAAGGGGAGACGAGCGAGGGGTGAAGAGGAGCCGAGCGGGCGAGGGGAGAAGAGCAGACGAGCGAGGGGAGAAGGGGAGACGAGCGAGGGGTGAAGAGGAGCCGAGCGGGCGAGGGGAGAAGAGCAGACGAGCGAGGGGAGAAGGGGAGACGAGCGAGGGGTGAAGAGGAGCCGAGCGGGCGAGGGGAGAAGAGCAGACGAGCGAGGGGAGAAGGGGAGACGAGCGAGGGGTGAAGAGGAGCCGAGCGGGCGAGGGGAGAAGAGCAGACGAGCGAGGGGAGAAGGGGAGACGAGCGAGGGGTGAAGAGGAGCCGAGCGGGCGAGGGGAGAAGAGCAGACGAGCGAGGGGAGAAGGGGAGACGAGCGAGGGGTGAAGAGGAGCCGAGCGGGCGAGGGGAGAAGAGCAGACGAGCGAGGGGAGAAGGGGAGACGAGCGAGGGGTGAAGAGGAGCCGAGCGGGCGAGGGGAGAAGAGCAGACGAGCGAGGGGAGAAGGGGAGACGAGCGAGGGGTGAAGAGGAGCCGAGCGGGCGAGGGGAGAAGAGCAGACGAGCGAGGGGAGAAGGGGAGACGAGCGAGGGGTGAAGAGGAGCCGAGCGGGCGAGGGGAGAAGAGCAGACGAGCGAGGGGAGAAGGGGAGACGAGCGAGGGGTGAAGAGGAGCCGAGCGGGCGAGGGGAGAAGAGCAGACGAGCGAGGGGAGAAGGGGAGACGAGCGAGGGGTGAAGAGGAGCCGAGCGGGCGAGGGGAGAAGAGCAGACGAGCGAGGGGAGAAGGGGAGACGAGCGAGGGGTGAAGAGGAGCCGAGCGGGCGAGGGGAGAAGAGCAGACGAGCGAGGGGAGAAGGGGAGACGAGCGAGGGGTGAAGAGGAGCCGAGCGGGCGAGGGGAGAAGAGCAGACGAGCGAGGGGAGAAGGGGAGACGAGCGAGGGGTGAAGAGGAGCCGAGCGGGCGAGGGGAGAAGAGCAGACGAGCGAGGGGAGAAGGGGAGACGAGCGAGGGGTGAAGAGGAGCCGAGCGGGCGAGGGGAGAAGAGCAGACGAGCGAGGGGAGAAGGGGAGACGAGCGAGGGGTGAAGAGGAGCCGAGCGGGCGAGGGGAGAAGAGCAGACGAGCGAGGGGAGAAGGGGAGACGAGCGAGGGGTGAAGAGGAGCCGAGCGGGCGAGGGGAGAAGAGCAGACGAGCGAGGGGAGAAGGGGAGACGAGCGAGGGGTGAAGAGGAGCCGAGCGGGCGAGGGGAGAAGAGCAGACGAGCGAGGGGAGAAGGGGAGACGAGCGAGGGGTGAAGAGGAGCCGAGCGGGCGAGGGGAGAAGAGCAGACGAGCGAGGGGAGAAGGGGAGACGAGCGAGGGGTGAAGAGGAGCCGAGCGGGCGAGGGGAGAAGAGCAGACGAGCGAGGGGAGAAGGGGAGACGAGCGAGGGGTGAAGAGGAGCCGAGCGGGCGAGGGGAGAAGAGCAGACGAGCGAGGGGAGAAGGGGAGACGAGCGAGGGGTGAAGAGGAGCCGAGCGGGCGAGGGGAGAAGAGCAGACGAGCGAGGGGAGAAGGGGAGACGAGCGAGGGGTGAAGAGGAGCCGAGCGGGCGAGGGGAGAAGAGCAGACGAGCGAGGGGAGAAGGGGAGACGAGCGAGGGGTGAAGAGGAGCCGAGCGGGCGAGGGGAGAAGAGCAGACGAGCGAGGGGAGAAGGGGAGACGAGCGAGGGGTGAAGAGGAGCCGAGCGGGCGAGGGGAGAAGAGCAGACGAGCGAGGGGAGAAGGGGAGACGAGCGAGGGGTGAAGAGGAGCCGAGCGGGCGAGGGGAGAAGAGCAGACGAGCGAGGGGAGAAGGGGAGACGAGCGAGGGGTGAAGAGGAGCCGAGCGGGCGAGGGGAGAAGAGCAGACGAGCGAGGGGAGAAGGGGAGACGAGCGAGGGGTGAAGAGGAGCCGAGCGGGCGAGGGGAGAAGAGCAGACGAGCGAGGGGAGAAGGGGAGACGAGCGAGGGGTGAAGAGGAGCCGAGCGGGCGAGGGGAGAAGAGCAGACGAGCGAGGGGAGAAGGGGAGACGAGCGAGGGGTGAAGAGGAGCCGAGCGGGCGAGGGGAGAAGAGCAGACGAGCGAGGGGAGAAGGGGAGACGAGCGAGGGGTGAAGAGGAGCCGAGCGGGCGAGGGGAGAAGAGCAGACGAGCGAGGGGAGAAGGGGAGACGAGCGAGGGGTGAAGAGGAGCCGAGCGGGCGAGGGGAGAAGAGCAGACGAGCGAGGGGAGAAGGGGAGACGAGCGAGGGGTGAAGAGGAGCCGAGCGGGCGAGGGGAGAAGAGCAGACGAGCGAGGGGAGAAGGGGAGACGAGCGAGGGGTGAAGAGGAGCCGAGCGGGCGAGGGGAGAAGAGCAGACGAGCGAGGGGAGAAGGGGAGACGAGCGAGGGGTGAAGAGGAGCCGAGCGGGCGAGGGGAGAAGAGCAGACGAGCGAGGGGAGAAGGGGAGACGAGCGAGGGGTGAAGAGGAGCCGAGCGGGCGAGGGGAGAAGAGCAGACGAGCGAGGGGAGAAGGGGAGACGAGCGAGGGGTGAAGAGGAGCCGAGCGGGCGAGGGGAGAAGAGCAGACGAGCGAGGGGAGAAGGGGAGACGAGCGAGGGGTGAAGAGGAGCCGAGCGGGCGAGGGGAGAAGAGCAGACGAGCGAGGGGAGAAGGGGAGACGAGCGAGGGGTGAAGAGGAGCCGAGCGGGCGAGGGGAGAAGAGCAGACGAGCGAGGGGAGAAGGGGAGACGAGCGAGGGGTGAAGAGGAGCCGAGCGGGCGAGGGGAGAAGAGCAGACGAGCGAGGGGAGAAGGGGAGACGAGCGAGGGGTGAAGAGGAGCCGAGCGGGCGAGGGGAGAAGAGCAGACGAGCGAGGGGAGAAGGGGAGACGAGCGAGGGGTGAAGAGGAGCCGA